CCACCTCCTCCCTCTTACCCTCACTCTGTTCCACACTGATTTGCTCCTTGCCACCATGGGACCTTCTTCCACTGCTGTTTCCTCCAGCTGGTGAGCAATTCCTCCAGGTTTCCACTTGCTTCTCCCTCTCACTTCCCCAGTCCCTGCTCAAAGTCACCTTCTGACAGAAGCCTGTCCTTTCCTGCCCAACCCAGGATGCGCTGGCCTTCCCTTTCTTTTTTCTTTTTTTTTTTAAATATGTTTTATTGATTTCAACGAAGAAGGGGGAGGGAGAGAGAGATAGAAACATCAATGATGAGAGAGAACCATGGATCGGCCACCTCTTGCATGCTCCCCACCGGGTGACCAGGAATTGAACCTTGACCTCCTGGTCCATAGGTCAATGTTCAACCACTGAGCCATGTTGGCAGGGCATGGCTTCCCCTTTCTTCACTCCAGATCCCCCTTGCTGGTTTTTTTTCTCCCATAGCACTTATATACTTACTTGTTTATGTATTGTTTGTCCCCCCCACTAGAATATCAGCTCCACGAGTGCAGGATTTTGGAGTGTTTTGTTCACTGCTGAGGTCCCAGTGCCCAACACAGTACGTGGCACACAGTCTGTGCTCTGTAAATATCTGGGGAATGAATGAATACCTGTGGAAGAATTTTAAGCAGAGGAGTCCCATGGTCATATTTTTGGCTTCGAGATAGTCCTCTTAAGGGGGCTGAGGCTGAAACAGGAAGATGGGCAAGAGGTGTTAAAGGTCTTGGCACAGAGAAGGACTAGATTCTAGAGGTAGTTATAAAAAGCACAGAGGTCAAAAGACTGTTTACAGACTGACTGAGATTAGAGATACCACTGAAAGGTAAGTTCCATTTGACCTACTGAATATTTAGTATTTGCCGTGGGCAAGGGATCATGGGAGGGAGGCTGAGAGCATAGATGGGGCAGATTGTGCCCCAAGGTGAGTTGAGGGCACAAGAGAAGTTTAGCGCAAGTGCTGGGACAGTGGAAGAGGAAGATACTTGATTTCCATCAGAGGAGGAAAGGAGAGAAGATTCAGGGAGTGTGTAAGCAGGGTCTTGAAAAATGGGTACGGTTTCAAGGGCAAAGACTGGAAAGGTGATATTATAGATTGTGAATTTCACCATCTCTGCCATTACGGACAAAACTTTTGATGGAGTTGCTAATGACTTGAGAAATAGTTCTTTCCATACCCCATAAAATAAAATGTTTTAAAAGAGGGTGAAGGACACTGAAAAGCAGAAAGGAAGAGTTGGGATAATTCACCACCTGGATCATTTGGTCCAGAACATGTGAATCATGCCAATAAGATTTTAAGAAAATAGGGACAGCCCTAACCGGTTTGGCTCAGTGGATAGAGCGTCGGCCTGCAGACTGAAGGGTCCCAGGTTCGATTCTGGTCAAGGGCATGTACCTTGGTTGCGGGCACATTCTCAGTAGAAGGTGTGCAGGAAGCAGCTGATCAATGTTTCTCTCTCATCTATGTTTCTAACTCTCTATCCCTCTCCCTTCCTTTCTGTAAAAAATCAATAAAAATATATTTAAAAAAGAAAACAGGGACAAAAATCAATTCCTTGCCCAGATGCATCACAGAGGGAACAACAACAAAAAGTCCTCCAAGTGAGGAACTCTGCTGACTCCTGGACTTTGTCCTGGGAGAACAATTTTCTGCTGGTGGGATATTGTTTTACAGGCAATGTTAAGATCCTTGGTAAGCAGGATTCCTGCTTAAAGCTGACAGTCATGCTGGCTTGCAAAGCTTGCCTACGTTTTTAATAAAACTGTCAGATTAAGCAATGCCTGGCTACAGTATATTATTAATACAGATTCTTAACTGTCAATTAGTTAACTGGCTAGTAAAAAGAACTGGTTTATAAGATTGCTGCTAGTGAATATAATGCTTTGTTCTCCAGAAAAACATCTGCTTTGGATATGCATTTTGAAAAAGTGCCCCCTTTCTGCTCCCCACAGGGAGAACATGTGCAGCTGAAAAAAGGAGCTTATTATACCTGTGAGAGGTCAAGGCCTGTGGATCTGTGGCTTATGGTATTATGACAGATTACAAAATTACTCCATTATGTTAGTCAGTCTGTTCCCAAGCACCTAGCCAAGAGCTAGCTGGGCACTGGCAGCTCCGAAACAAGATTCCCATCGGTTTTCGTCCTCAGGGCTTGTGACAGGTCAGCTGTTGTTGACATCATCCCACGGCTTACTCACGTGTCAGAGCCTGTCTGTCTGACCTCTGCCTCTGCTACAGCCACACTCTCCTGGGAGAGTCAGCCTGGGCCTCAGGCCTCAAGCAGCTCCCAAGAAGAGCTAGAGAGGATTGTGAATCCATGGGCAGCCCCATCACTTGTGCTAACAAGAGGGACCAGGAGGCAGAACACTGGAACCCCATGTGTCCTTTGTTCTGACTCTCCCTCTCACCTATCCTTCCTCCAAGACCCCTCTTTTTCTCCCCCACTATTTCCCTGGTTCCCCATCCCATGCCCTCTTCCATAGGCATATGCCTTCTTATCCTATCTAATAAAAGAGTAATATGCAAATTAACCATCACTCCGTCACTCCATCACAAAGATGGCAGCTGCTATGGAGCTGGAGCGAGCAGGAGGCTTGGGTTGCCCCCAGAGATGGAGGAAGCCAAGCTTCCCGCCTGCCCTGGCTGGCACTGGGCTCCGTTCAAGGCTACAAAGTTTCAATTATAGAAGATAAATAAATCCCAGAAAAAAAAAAGAAAAAAAGGAGAGGCTGGGAGCTTGGGTCACTGGGGGGCGTGGCCAGCCTGAAAACAGCCATCAGCCCCTCACCCAGGCTGGCCAGGCAACCCAGCAGGACCCCCCCACCCTGAAGGGGCTGTGGCCAGCCTGCAAACAGCCATCAGTCCCTCACCCAGGCTGGCCATGCCCCCTTGGGGTGAAGGTCCCTGCTGGGGGGCTTGGCCAGCCTGCAAACAGCCATCAGCCCCTCACCCAGGCTGGCCAGGCAACCCAGCAGGACCCCCCCACCCTGAAGGGGCTGTGGCCAGCCTGCAAACAGCCATCAGTCCCTCACCCAGGCTGGCCATGCCCCCTTGGGGTGAAGGTCCCTGCTGGGGGGCTTGGCCAGCCTGCAAACAGCCATCAGCCCCTCACCCAGGCTGGCCAGGCAACCCAGCAGGACCCCCCCACCCTGAAGGGGCTGTGGCCAGCCTGCAAACAGCCATCAGTCCCTCACCCAGGCTGGCCATGCCCCCTTGGGGTGAAGGTCCCTGCTGGGGGGCTTGGCCAGCCTGCAAACAGCCATCAGCCCCTCACCCAGGCTGGCCAGGCAAC